TGCGAGATATGCGAAGAAATTTTTTACCCAAATTTACAGAGATTTGTATCGAGACGCCATGCTGGTGCCCATCCGTATGAGCACCAACATGGCGGCCGGAAACCAGCAGAAACATCTCTCACTGAGTTTTCCTACAAAAGCGTGAATTTATCCCTCGGAAACACTAAAACATTAAAATAATACTTTTTTCAGACATGAACTGTTCAGGTAGCCAAGTTCCCCGAAATAAGTCACTTTTTTGACAATCATGACAGCTCTCTAGGCCGTCATGTAAATGCCGCGTCACGCAAAAGCTTAGAAATTCAAGCGTAGTGTATCACAAAACCAAGAACCCGTTCGGAGCNTGCTACAAAAGCGTGAATTTATCCCTCGAGGAACTCTAAAACATTAAAATAATACTTTTTCTAAGACATGAACTGCTCAGATAGCCAAATTCCCCGAAATAAGTCACTTTTTTAACCATCATGACAGCTCTCTAGGCCGTCATGTAAATGCCGCGTCACGCAAAAGCTTAGAAATTCAAGCGTAGTGTATCACAAAACCAAGGACCCATTCAGAGAGAAAATTTGTATGAATATTAGTTGTCAGTTGCTTTTAAACATCATTAAGGTAAAATCTCAGGAAGATCAGTAGTTTTGTAGTTTGAATTTTAATTACGTCATGTGAAAACCAGCTATACTCCCAAACGAGTATTTGAACAATGCAAGTGTGGATGCCCATATCAATTTGAAGATATTAAGTAAATGGAGAATGATAGCATAGTTATTGTATATAAATATATAAAGCGAAGCCTTGCAACTATCTACAAAGTATGACTAATTTAAGGAGACTGGCAACAGTTTCAGCTGTTTTCAAACAGCTATACTTTGAAAGGTGAAGACTGCGTTGTGTACCACTGATTATCAAGCGTTCCTAAGCTTTGCTACGATGATGGTATCCACAAATGCCCAATCCTTGGTAAACAAGTTGCGGTCATGTTTTTTTTTATATATAACGGGTTACCATAGCAACAATGCAACCTGTTAAAAACACCTCCTAATTTTAGCTTTAAGCGCTTATAACTCAACAACGAGCTCGGTACGTGACCCTCATTTTTTATTATCAAATTGTAATAAGCATGATGAGATGCAACGTTGTACGAAGTTTAAAAATATTCTGTGGAGAGGGTTCAGAGCCACTTTAAGTTTTCGAAAATTTAAGGTGGCTTTGAAACCTCTCGAAACTGTTGCCAGCCTCCTTAAATGTGTATTTACTTGAAAGTATTTGCTAATCTAAGAGTGAGAGAAAATAAACAAAATAATTAAGCAACCCAAAAAGTAATTCGGCAGTGCGAATATCTTACAAATTAGGACATGTTCATCAGATTAATTAAATAAGAGAAAAATGATTGTTATTGAATCTAAGCCTTGTATCTAATACGTTTGGTTAATTTGAATGTATATATCCCTTCGCATTGAGATGACATTAAAGCTGCAAAATGGCAAAGACGAATATGCAAACCTTGTATAACTTTTTTGTCTACTGTAATAGAGCTGCATAAAGATTAGGTACAGGTCCATTCCAGTCCTAACGATAGGAGGAGCAGCCCGGGAAGTTTAGCTGAACTGGATAATTACAACTATCACCTCATAGAAATCTCGAGCTCATAATGCAATTATTTAAAGTTCCAATCCCTACGTTATCTTCTCGGTTTTCACCATTAATATACTTTGCCTTTATATTGCTTTGATAATTGTAAGTATTGTACTATGTTTGCATTTGTTTATTTGTTTACCTCAGCCTTTATTTATTCGAGTTTAGTTTCTGGTCTTTCTTGCGATAATTATGTATTTTTGGCATGCAATTATTTCAGTTGAATCTCGACACAACACAATCTACGTTTAAAGATTTGTGTATCCCCCTCTGGCACTTGATGGATTAACTGGATTATTTTTATCTTTTAATTTTTGCCTGACTCCGAAACATTAGAAGGTGTACCCAAAATTCCTACTATCACAGTTTTTCTCAATTCTGGTTTGATTGGAATGAAAAACATACTTCCCTGCTAAAAACACAATTTGAAAATATTTACCAGTCTTATCTCGAATCACTACGTGAATTCAAAACCGTAAAATCATTATAACCCTTAATTATATCCCAAGGCAAGTCGCAGAAAGAAGTCGATTGAAAGATTTTTCGCGAATTTTCCACAGAATCAATCTTTCAACAATAAAAGCTCTTAACAGCCAAATTTAACAAAAAGATTAGCTTTGATTTGTTTCATGAATAATGCTCTTTAGGAGGAAGTTATGAATAAATAATTGCTTTACCGCCATAGTCGTTTGAGGCAAGGAAATTGGTTTTAAACAATTGCAAAGATTTGGATATTTCTTGCACCTGTGGGGTCAACCTGGTTAATGTATGCGTAAAAAAGCTTGGAAAAATATTTAATGTTTGAATGATAAATACTATCTTCTGTGATTTCGGGAAGTAAATTCTACAATCACTTTTTCCATTAGTTTGCGTAAAGGTTTTTAAATTTGTCCTCAGAGACTTTTTTGGAAGTTGTCAAACGGTAGAATCTTCATGCGATCTCTCTTCTGAAGAATTGTTGATACAATGGACAAGAACTTTTAAATAACCCTTTTCTAGATTATTAGATTTATTCATAGGGGAGTTGCGTGGGCTTCCAAGGCGACGGGAGACAAAACAGCAGTTACCGGCAAAGAGTTTTTCATCCACCATGCTGGCAAAGGACGGATTAAAGCGTAAGTGAGGGTAAGCCCGCCTAAAGCCAAGAATCTCAGAGACAACAGCTATGAAGTCGATTTTGCAACAGCACATTTACGGCGCTTACAAATTTCTCCGAAATGTCTCAGATGACGAAAGTGACCAAGAGGAAGAAGAGCGAGATAAAGAAAATAATCATGCCATCTCGTCGATAGAGGATGACAAAAACAAGACAACTAACTTACAAACTTTTTGGAACATATTCAACGCTAACCAAGGGGTAGCCATTTTGGCCATGCCATATGTTGTGAAGAGCGGAGGATATGCAACCCTCTTCAGTATTGTTGCTTTGGCTTTCATCTCCAATTTCACCAACAAGATTCTTGTGCAGTGCCTGTACGAGTACTCGCCGGAACAAACCGCTTTCCGAGTCCGAAATAGTTACGTGGAAATTGGAGAGGCATTCTCGCCGAAGATCGGTCGACACCTGGTGAACGCGGCGCAGATTTTCGAACAGCTCTCGTACTGCACTCTTCTGTTGATCCTGTGTGGCTCCATTCTCGCTTCCACCTTCCCATTCGTTTCGCTTTATCAAAGCCATTGGACGGCGCTAGGAGCCATGTTGCTCCTGCCAAATATCTTTCTGAAATCTCTCAGTGAAGTGTCATGGGTGAGTTTTCTCACAGTGATGATTGGCGAAATCATTTACCTGACCGTGACCATGTACGGCGTGTTTCATCACGAGCGCTGGAATTTCGCATCCATGCCGGACTTCAAACTGAAGAGTTTCGGAGCAGCTGTCGGAATCATCGTGGTCAGCTACTCTTCACAGCCTTACATGCCGGCGATCGAAGGCAGCATGAAGGAACCCCAAAAGTTCGGTAATGTCATGAGTGTCACTTACATGGCAGTCACCTTTGTCAAAGTCGCCTTTGGCCTCATTGGGTACCTCACCTTCACCGAAGACACAGATCAGGTCATTACTAATAATCTACCGGACGGGGGCCTCCACATGTGTGTCAACCTCCTAGTCTTACTGCTAGCCGCTACATCATACACTATACCAGTGTACACCGTGTTCGATATTCTAGAAAACATCGATTTTCCTTGCTGCAAGGTAGACAATCCAAGTGCAACCAAAGACAAAATTTCATACGCCCAAGCGCTCGCCGCGCGCTTGTGTATAGTTTCGTTCACTTTATTCATTGGAGTTTTAGTTCCTCATTTTGGGTTGTACATGGCTCTAGTCGGCAGTTTTACGGGGATGTGTTTGGCCTTTATTTTTCCGGCTATTTTTCACATGAAGATCTGTTACGATAGGTTGCAATGGTATGATTTTGTCATCGATAGTGGGGTCGCATTGTTCGGTCTCGTGGGAGCAATAATAGGCTGTCATTTTTCTGTTTTAGCCCTCATAGCCGAGTATCAAAAACACGAACTTTGAGGACACACAGCCATCCAAATATTTATCCTAATCTCCTCTTTACTTCAAATTTTTCGAACAAGCTCATTTCATAATTGATGAAATTTTATTTTACATCTGTTTGACTTGCACTTAATTTTTTTTTAAAGTCGCCGCAAGATCTCGCGGTTCTTTGGGGTGGAAAAAAAGATATTATAACCAAAATTGATTTTTTTTTTTGTGGAATTCAGAAACATTTTCAGATCAAAACAAACTATTTTTACAACTACAGACTCACTGACCGCAAATACGTAAAACCTTCTTGAACTTACCAAATTGTTATAAATAATTTAGCTGGGGATTAATATGCCTCTGTTGATGGCAGTTTTTAGCTCAAAACATATTTTTCGCGACATTGTTTGTTCGAAGGCAGTTGATACAACAAATTATTTTTATCCACGTCGACGATAAATGTGTTGTCAAGTTGTTCAAATGTAGTCTCTCGCATATCTAAAAATTGTCTTCCCAGACACACTTTACGTCATTTTTTTTCAAATTAATATGCAGTCAAGCCTTCTTTTAAAGTTATCTTTAATCTTATCATGTGGCTTTTATTGTTGTTGACATTGTTTGTTATATAATGAACATAATACGAAATGGGAAAAATCAATCTGAGTCATCTGCTGGGAGAAATTCATCTGTATAATTTATCTAAGAGTGTAGTTTATATTTGTTGTATATTATAAGGCAAATTATACATAAGGAAAATAATATGTAACCTGGGAACGTTAAATAAAGGAAGATATATCGTTTCAAACATCTGTTAATGTCTCTGTAGAATTAAACGTGAAAGAGATAGTTTCAATTGAACTTATTCCGAAGTTTAGTTGTAAAAATATGGAAATATCGACTAAGATTTGTTCCGTTGATTTTTAGTCATTATTGAACCCAAACAAAGTCGAGTTCCAATAACGAGCAAACAAACGAGGTCAATAAGATTCTCATTTCATATCAGTTTCTAACCGACAAAAAGCCTACTAAAAGATGGCCAGAGCGCGCGAGCGGTCAGCAGCTGTTCAAAGGACTGTCAGTTAACACTGTCCGCTGGATAAGTCAGTATACAGTAGGGGCGCTTATTTCAAATTTAGGAGAAGACGGGGGGCGCTTATTCGAGGCGTGGCGCCTAATCGAGTGGGGGCGCTTATTTTATTTTGCCAAATGGTGGCCTGACATGATAATTTTTTTAATACCTCATCTGCGCGTAAACAACAGCATAAGCTGTTTATCGACATAAAAAGCTGACGATAAAGTTTAAATCGCCGCACCGTTAGCACGTAATTTTTTTCAAGATTAACGTGTTCACAAACTGAAATATTGTTCAAATCTAATACTACACGACGAAAACTATACATACTTTGTTGTCTCATTACTCGTCCACAACATGGG